CAACATCTAAATATTGATGAACATCTGAATCGGAAACTTTCATAATTAAATTCAGGACCATCTAAGCTCTTATTTCAACAAACTTATAATCAAATTAAACACCTCGAAGAGACGAACCCAATGACATGAAAATCACCGAATCCATCGAGCCAAAGATCACTTAATTCTAGCATCATTAAGGCACAAAATGCATGATAAAAACTATATGTCAAGGAAATCACTATCAGTCATGCGATGGAACATCCCTAGCATGTCCTTGATTTTCTCTATATTTATCAGTCATGACACTCCAAAAAAATTACAAATAAACTCTCATCCTTCACTTGAAGGGGAGGAGGGGAGAAGGAAGAAGAGAATAGACCCTTTGGCTTAGAGAATTATGAAGCTCCACCCCGGCACCATCGCCGACAAATTCACGACACCAGGCTGTCGTTGTTGAATCTCCACCAAACCATCATCGTCAAACTCCATCTAGTAGCCATTGATAGTCCTTCCGACCATCGTTGACCGACTACGGTCCTTCTGACCACCATCACACGACTATGATCCTTTCGACCATCGTCACCCAACTACGGTCATTTCGACCACCATCACCTGCCAACTACGATTCGACCACAATCACCCAACTACGGTCCTTCCGACCTCCATCGCACGCCGATTATTATTTCCCCGACCACCATTGCCTGATTATGATCCTTCCAACCTCTGTTACCTGCCAACTACGGTTCTTCTTACCATCATCATCTGACTATGGACCTGCCAAAAAAACGAACAGAACAACATTGTCTTGAGAGCCACTATTATGTCATTCTCCAACTATATATATAATGTGCTCTATATGATATAAGTTACGTTTTCCCCTTAAGAAGGATATCATTTATAATCAATTACAAGTAATAATGGATTCATTTAGACTGGAAAAAGCCCTATAGTTTTCTCCCTTTTCTAGGATTTTCACATAAAAAATTTAGTGTCTCTAATAAACGTTGCACTCCTGTATCTTATATGTTTGTGTGCAAGATCTTCGTATAAATCTAGGATGCTAAATTCTGTATATCTCTACCCCCTGAAGATCATGTACAAGGCAAAATTTTAAGAACATTTCAGTAATTAAGTAAAATTTGACCGTTAAATTTAATTTAGTAGAACAGACTTAGGCTTCATTTGGGATGGCTTTCTTTATGCTTCTTAAAGCAGCTTTCTAGTACAAAATTTTTAATTTTGTACTAAAATGCTGCTTTAAGAAGCAGAAAGAAAATCGTCCCAAACAAAGCCTTAATCGCCATGCGCACCACATCATGTTGTCCACGCGGGGATATGCATATTTTTTCAAGCAGAAATTTTAAGAACAAATCTACGATGTTGTCCACATGGAGACATATATTTTTTTATCATATAATTTTTTTTATTAATTAGACTTGTTGCGTCCTGGAATATTCGCGGCGGTAGAGAAATATTTAGTTTAACGTCTTAGTATTGTACGAAGATCCAGCACACAATCAGATAAGTGAGAGGGTGTAGCGTTCATAAGAGACACAAAAGTTTTTACGTGGAAAACCCCTGAAAAAGGGGGAAAAACCACGGGGCCTGGCCCGGTTTGAATGAATCCACTAGTATTTGTAGTCGATTACAAATGAGGCAATATTTTCAAACTATGCGAGCTTCAACATCTGAATCTTGATGAACATCTGAATTGGAAATTTTCATAATTAAATTCAGGACCATCTAAGCTCTTATGTCAACAAATTTATAGTCAAATTAAACATCTCAAAAAGACGATCCCAACGACATGAAACTCAGTGTGATCCGAGTGCAAATGAGCCCAAATCAAGGGTCCAAAGCATACTTAGATGGTTCAAAGCATTAATTGCATAACAAAATGATTGTCGAATATAGCATGCTTATATTTGAATTGAGTAACTTGACGGGACGAATCCAACGAGCCAAAGATCACTTAATTCTAGCATCATTAAGGCACAAAATGCTTGATAAAAACTCTATGTCAAGGAAATCACTATCAGTCATCCGATGGAACATCCCTAGCATGTCCTTGATTTTCTCTATATTTATCAGTCATGACACTCCAAACAAATTATAAATAAACTCTCATGCTTCACTAGAAAGGGGGGAGGGGAGAAGGAAGAAGAGAATAGACCCTTTGGCTTAGAGAATTATGAAGCTCCACCCCAGCACCATCGCCGACAAATTCGCGACACTAGGCTGTCGTTGTTGAATCTCCACCAAACCATCATCGTTAAACCACATCTAGTAGCCATTGATAGTCCTTCCGACCATCGTCGACCGACTATGGTCCTTCTAACCACCATCACACGACTACGATCCTTTCGACCATCGTCACCCAACTACGGTCCTTTCAACCACCATCACCTGCCAACTACGATCCGACCACAATCACCCAACTACGGTCCTTCCGACCACCATCGCACGCCGATTATTATTCCCCCGACCACCATTACCTGATTATGATCCTTCCAACCTCTGTTACCTGCCAACTACGGTTCTTCTTACCATCATCATCTGATTATGGACCTGCCAAAAAAATGAACAGAACAACATTCTCTTGAGAGCCACTATTATGTCATTCTCCAACTATATATATAATGTGCTCTATATGATACAAGTTTGTTATATTGAGCCAACATTTTCCCCTGAAGAAGGATATCATTTATAATCAATTACAAGTACTAATGGATTCATTTAGACTAGACAAAGCCTTGTAGTTTTCTCCCTTTTCTAGGATTTTCACATAAAAATATTGATGTCTCTAATAAACGTTGCACTCCTATATCTTATATATTTGTGTGCAAGATCTTCGTATAAATATAAGAAGCTAAATTCAGTATCTCTTTTTCGCCTTGAATTTTTCAGGACACAATAGCTATAATTTAAATTACTTAGAAAATAAAGATTATGTACAAGGCAAAATTTTAAGAACATGTCAGTTTATTAATTAATTAAGTAAAATTTGACCGTTAATTTTAATTTAGTAGAACAGACTTAGGCCTCGTTTGGGACGACTTTCTTGCTGCTTCTTGAAGCAGCTTTTTAGTATAAAAATTTTAATTTTTAAACTAAAAAGCTATTTTAAGAAGCAATAAAAAAGCCGTCCCAAACGAATCCTTAATCGCCATGCGCACCACATCATGTTGTCCACGCGTGGATATGCATATTTTTTTCGTGCAGAAATTTTAAGAACAAATCTACGATGTTGTCCACATGGAGACATATATTTTTTTATCATATAATTTTTTTTATTAATTAGACTTTTAAATTTATTGTCAAGAAACTAATTTTTTTTTGCTGCAATGACGAGCACATGGTAGATAATGGATTTTAAGATATATTTGACTTGTAAGTTGCTCTCATATGTATTTAAATAGAAATGGGACGTCTTAGGTTTTAATAATTTTCTAACAATTTTTATATGATCTTAATTTGTTCTTAAATCAAATTTTACTTGAAAACAGTTTGCTTCAGTTTTATATTTCATTGCATTCATATGCTCATTTACTAAAGTTAAAATTTGAATTATTATAAAATTTTGAGCATCTTTATCAAAGTGTACGAGGCAAACATATAGCAATTCACCTAGACACTTTAAGTATTCTTATCTTTCTTTTTTCTTTCGAAGTTACTTTTACCCGTAATACTAAATCTCATATTCGTGATTCATATTGGAGGCAGCTTCACACCGCTTTATTGTTAGGGAGTGGCGTGTTACGTGCCCACGATTTATTGAGAGACTAAGACTAGCTGGGTTGGAACGCATAAGACACTTACAGTACGTAAAATTTGACCATCACCTATTTAAAGTGTTAAAGAATAACAAATTTTATCTTATAATTGGCTAGATGATGATATAATTGCAAGATATTTCATTTATTATTGGATTGTGCGTATATGGACCACCACTCATTAGTGGAAAATGTTGTGGGGCCTGGTAGAATAGGCACCCTCATGTTATTATTCACATTCGGTGAGCAAAAGAATCATGGTTAGTCACATTTTATTTTTTAAAAATTCCACCTTAGTTTATAATTAAGTTTACTAATTAATTTTTTACATGATACCTTAGTAATTTCATATTTTTATTACAATGTCAGTTCTTCTTGGACGTAGAGGAGAGGCTAAAGCCTGTTTAGTCGTGATACGGATACACCTATATAGGCGGTTGTGAACAGCATTAAGGATCTTTTCAAGAGATTTAGATAGACTGATAGAGTATGCACATTGTAGACGATATATACTAAAAACTTGATGTTTTCGCAGCAATTTTTAGCAGCAGTTTATCGAACCGCTGCTAAAGATAATTAGAAAAAGCGGTGCCCTAGCTTGTCGACTCTTTTCCATTCTCAGTGGATTGAAATCCATCGTCACGACCGACGAGCCTGCTCCCTCTAGCCGGTTGCCACCGTCCCCAATGACAACGCAATCTTTATCGGAGTCCAAGCATCATCCAGTTCGACAAACCCTCACGCCTTCGTCGTTGCTGACATGGGCGTAAGTTCATCATTTCTCCTTTTGTTTTCTCTATGTGAGTTCTTGGTAAATTTCTTGGGTGATTTTCAAGATTTTGGCGCTTTTAGCAGGTGGTGACGTTCTATTCTTGCTCGCATTTTTGTCTCCGATACATAAAGTCATGTGTTACCTATTGTTGTTCTTAAAACCTTCAAAGCCGTTGATCCATTCATAGTTGGTTTCCATGCTTTTTCTTTCTGGATATGTTTCGAAATCAGCCTAGGGTTTTAAGACATGAGGACGCTTGGCAGGATTGGTGCTGAACGCTTACTTTCTAGTTGCTGCTGCAAGATCTTGGCTTATTGGCATATAGGTTATTACCTCTTATCATCATACAGAACTTGTGATTTGCTAATTCAAAGGAAGATTCTATTGTTTAGTTCATTAATTTAAATGTCAATGTTGCATATTATTGCCTTGTGCTAGTTTAAATTCTGTTTGAAATATTGATGAGTGAGATAAAGATGAAAATTCAGTAAATTTTAATCCAAGTATAATGCAGTTAATTATCATTAACATGAATTTAGCTTAACTGTGCTTTTGAATGAATCAGATATAGTAGTAGCTTGCATATACATTGATCTTATAAAACTTACATATACATTTATCATTGAATTTCATTCTTGAAAATTTTCAATTCCATATTTTCTTACTGCAATCAAATGCCAGTTTTACTAATCTTGGCCGTTGTATAAGTATCTATATTTGTTTGAGCATAGATTGAATTTACTGAGCATAGACTCTCTCGGCTCGACTCTCAATCCCTAGGGTTTGCAATCCACGATTTCCAACCTCCCATGGGTGCTGATGGTGATTCCGGCAACTCGTTCGTCGCTGACAGATCGAAGTTCTCTTGAATTTATATTGTATCAACTTAACTAGGGAACATCTATTCCATTTGAATTTCATATTGTAGTAACTTCCTAGAGAACTTATATTCTACAATTTTTGTTTATTGAATTACTTAATGAATTTCTTAGATCTCACTGGTTATGGAGTGCAAGGAAATGACCCATCATGCCTACGAGTATTCCTTTTGCTAATTTTAAGTACAGTCTCTCAATCTGGATATGCTGGTTTGCAAGAATAAGGTATTTTGACCAACATGCTATCATATTTATTTATAACCTCTTATAACCTCTTTTATATCATTTCTATATTAAAATTTTTTGCTATCATATTCATTTAACTTCTAGTCTTTATTCTCCATATTAAGCAGGACTAAAATTTAATGGTCTGCATCTTATTGCAGTTGTTTGGATGCATCAATAGGGCATAGACTCATCTATGGATTTAATTAGGTTGGATTTGGATCAACTACGTAGCATATTCATCTGAAGCACGTCTAGGCTTGCAAATCAAATTATGTTCAAGTATGTTCCCTTGCTGCTCAATTAGCAGCTTTCAACTAGCATGTTGCACTATGGATTTAATCATTTTTCTATATGACTATTGTAGATGTATATTAATAATGGATGTGGTTGTTATTCCTACTTCTGTTGTTGTGGTTGTTATCAAATATCTATGTTAAGTGCTTAGGTATGTATATTCAAGTACATTCTTCTTTTTTCATGTTATATTTTTTATTGATAATTCAAAATGAAAATTTTGAAGCTGGCAGTAACATGGTCGCTTAAGTTGTGCTATTAAGTTCTAAGAATAGATTGCTTTGACCAATCAATTCTCTCATTTACTTCACAAAACAATACTTGTCTATGTTTATTGAAGTGCTTGCATGTTTCAACTAAAAGTTTTAATTCAAAAGTACTTAAGAGCAAATGCAGCCACAATGTAAATTTTTTATCATAAGTAGCAGATCATAAACTATTTCCACTTCCAAGATTTTTAATGGTTTTCACTAAAACAATACTTGTCTGTTTTGATGACTTGGTTCATATCATTCATTATTTTAAAATCTTACAGCTTAGTCATAATAGAAGTTTTTGACAACCAAAATATGGCTGATCCAGTATATGCACTAATATTTTGAAAATCCAGTTTGTTTGCATGATGTTTGATGCATGGTTTTCTTTAAAAATGTAAATTTCTGACATTTAGAAGTTTAAATAATTTGATCATAAATTTGATTTTTTGGTATTATATATTTT